ACCAATGGAAGATAGGTCTCTCTCGTTCTACGGCCACGCCTTTGCCTTGGGCTAGCACCCTTTTCTGGAATTTGGTTGAAACTTAAAATATCCTTTGCCCTTTCTGGGTTAAGAGCCACTTGCTTCTTTGTCCTTCTCCATAACGCCCTAATCTCTGTCTCCAACAGGCTATAGAGAATTGCCTTGACTTCCACTCTAGTCATCAGAATCTTGCCCACCACCTGCTGACATATTCGTTTCCATATTGTCCATAAGGTGTACTGTCTCAGAAGCTGAAAGATATATTTGTGGCCTGCCCGCCATTCCTTAGGCACCTCACTTCCAATCAATATTAGTTTTCTGTTTCGCGGGAAGGGGACCTCCGTAGTATGTGCCCACAATGAACGAGCTATGGACCAGAGATGTTCCTCTTCCTGGCAATGGAGACAATCTTCTGTAATTCGGTTGATTGGCAGAGAGTCAGACTATCTTTGATTTCATATCTTGTGCAGGGTTGCATCCCCTGCCGACTGCCGACCCCGACCGCCTACCATTTTGCAGCCGACCAGCAGGGCCGACTGGTCAGCGGTCTGCTGACCTGTCAGAAAACAGCCATCCACTGATTTTTTTTTAAATCTGAGTTGGGGCTGTACTGTGCTTGCTGAGTACAGCCCAAATCCTCTGAGGAAAAAAAAAAAGACAAAAAAAAGAAAAAAGAAAGAAGTCAGAAGCCTTCAGTGGCTTATCACATACGCTGCGCTGCCAGTGAATCAATGGCGTCACACACGACGTCACAAAAACGATCCCACCAGTTCGGACCTAATCAAAGTTTGTACAGAAGGGGCGCAAGAAGACGTGGTACACTGCCTAATTCAATGTAACGAGGCGACGGATTACTGGGCACGGGGCTCAGCCCTCTGGGACTCCCTTTTCCATGCCCCCTTCCCCGAACATCCCATCCAAATCCTCCTCTGGACTAACATTCCTGACCAGCTCAAGAAGACGGAAAGGTTATGGTTCGGCCTGATCAGGAAGGTGACGTTATGGACCATTTGGCAAGAGAGATGCTGCAGAACCATCGAAGGGCTTTCCAACCCAAGAGAGAAGGTATGGGCGGAGACGAAAACCATGCTACAGGCTGAAATTCTTTGCAGATGGCAAAAGTTAAAGCAGTCGATGCCTGAAGATGAGGATCTGCGAGAAAAGGCTAGGTAAAAGTTCACCAGGCTGTGGTTAGTGGACGGCAGGCTGGCTGAGCTACGGAACGACTGAGTGTACTGGAAAGACTGGCACAATTCAGAGACAGGCAGGAGAGCCCAGACTGTGCCTGCAACAACAGATAGGCAGCTGAGTTGAAGGGAGTAAGGGATACCAGGCTTCAGGAACGAGAGCCAAGAGGAGAGGCAAGGCGAATTAAGATTGGTGTTGGGAGGAAGTGACCTAGGCCTGTCACAGACGCTGCAAAGACTGATCCAGGTCGGACAAGGGAGAGGGGATCAAGAGCCGATGCACTAGCTGACTCAGGACAGAGCAGATAGCCCCCGACATCAACGATGGACGGGTTTACACACCTTACAATAGGAAGGGAGAACACAAAAAGTACCCTTGGTTCACAGTCATCAGGTTGTCTTTAGAGGAGGTACAACAGAAAAGGGGTACAACGATGAGGACTAAGGGAGGGTTTAGGGTTTAAGGGTCTTAATCATCGGGTAATGGCTCAGGGGTTTAGGGTCTAAGGGTTTGGTCACTCCGAACAGCTTAAGACAGCAGCCCTAGGCAGATGGTAACTGCTCAAGGGGACGAGGTTAGGGCTGGACTGAATCAGCGGAAACAGGGTGGAGGGTGATTGGTAGACAATAAGGGGTTTTAGGAAAAAGGGAAATGATACATATGCATGGTCAGAAAATGTGGGGGTTCAGGGCATGTTGAGGGGCAGGAGGGTTGTTGAAGGGGCAAGATCCTTTCTTGGTTTTCGGGACCTATATGGCAGGTTTTTTGCAGCAGACCTGAGAGGAAAGGGTATAGCACGGCAAGCTGACAGTCAATCCTCCATGCGGATGGAATAATCAATGCTGGTCAGGGGTCCTTCGGCCGTGTGGAAGGAAGCGTGTGTCTGTAATTATGATGTATTATTCTTTTGACTTGCCAGTGGAATAGGAACCGGACTGATGCTCCCCAGAATGGAAAAGGAGTCGGGGCCATAAGGTCCTGTTTTATTAAAAAAAAAAAAAAAAAAAAAAAAAAAAAAAAAAAAAAACTATAGATTATATATAAGAAGTTAAAAACTATATATGCTTTCTCGTGGGCATTCCCCACCAACCCTTTCTAAAGGGTGCACCTGCGGCATGCGCTCCCGCCAACGTCGCTATCCTACGCATGTGATGCATCTCTCTCAGTGGTTCCGACGCATGCTGCGATGGTCCCTGCATCATCCAGTTTCTTCTTTTCCCTCACGTCGCTCTCGTCCTGTCCCTGCTTGTTCATCTGCTGCTACTGCAGTTTTGACTGCCGCAGCTCCCACTGCTGCAGTTTCCACAGCTGCAGTTTCCACTGCTGCAGTTTCTCCTGCTGCTGTCTCCACGGCCGCAGTTTCTACAGCTCCGGTTTTCACTTCGGCAGTTTCTGCTACAGAAGTTGCCTCTGCTGCAGTTCCTGCTGTAACTTCCTCTGCTGCTGTGTAATCTTGCCCAATCCATCCCCCTTCATCCCTTTCTGTGCTTGGCCGCAGACGGCTGCGTTCCTCCTCGCCACCCCCATCCCCTCCACGGTCTCATTTGAGAACAAATTCTCCAGTTCCCATTGTTCCGCCTTCATTGCCAGGGACATCCTCATCTTCTGTTTGCAACAACCCCTTCCTCTTATTGTGTATCGTCGACGAGATGCGCAACATCGTCACTTGTCCACAGATCAGCAGCCTGTTTCTTTGTCTACCCCAATTCTCTTTGTGCCTGCTCCACAGGTTGTTGCAGTTCCTTTCTTCCAAACGGCTACATCTGCTCCTATGCCTCTTTCATACAGTCCGGCTCTGCAGGAAGCCACAACACCATGTTTTATGGTCCTCCACGCTAGAGATTTGTGACCCACTTGTACAACAGGATGTGGTCCATGCCCAGAGAATACTTCGAACTCCAGGGGTAGTCCCTACTCAGGATGCGGGCCTGAACGCTGAGGGATTGGAACATTATCTGCCCGGATTGTAGTTGACCCCACAAGGCATAGTCTTTTGTGGTGACCTCAGGCACCCTCCGCATCCGGACTGCAGGCACCCTCCGCATCCGGACACTATATGTCCATTTTGTGGCCATGGGCGCTATACTGAATGTATGGTCTTTTGTGGTGACCGTTCTTCCTTCATTTTGGCCTGCAATCGACAGGCCATTTGTCGGGGGTGTATGGTGGGCATGCTCAATGCCAGCCGTCATGGCAATTGTTGTACTGAGAATGCTCAGGTAGGTCTTCTATGTGTTGATCCACCTCATCCTTACAATGTATGTCCTCTTTATCGTCAAGGACAGACTCATTCTTGAGCCTTTTCTTATCCTCTTTTGCCCTCATCTTCATTCCACACTCCGTACTTTCCCTTACTTTCCCTTCCCTGGTGAACCTTGTACATGAGAGGCACAGTGTGGTGGAGTAAAAAGAAGAATGAGAAATTGAATGGTTTCAATGTGCCCTTGCTTTTTGTTTTTTATTCTTTCTTTTGCAAAGTGCGCTCTTTTAGTTCATAGTTATGTGACAATACATCATATAATAAATATTATATTAGAGTAATAATTAGACTAAAAATGTGGCACACCTATTGCAGGTTGTCATCAAGGGCTCCATCCATCCTAAGCCTGGCTGCAAAGTTCTCCCATTCTTTGAGCACGAGAACTTTCCTGCATCTCTCTCTCTCTCTCTCTCTCTCTCTCTCTCTCTCTCTCTCTCTCTCTCTCTCTCTCTCTCTCTCTCTCTCTCTCTCTC